TGTTTTATGGATTCCATTTGTTTCCTATATTGGGATTCCATCATGTTCCTCAGCTCCTCTATTTTTTTATCTGTGTCCTCTCTAGATTTATTAATTATGTCTTATACTATGGGCACAAACTCTGCTGTTATCAGAGAAACTATTTCTGATTTCATTTTTTCCAGATCCTCTTTTGTTGCTAGTTCAGGGAGTCCAGGTGGTTGAGTGTCAGAGTGTTCCATCTCATTTCCCTTTGGGGTTACTGTAGGTGATCTGGAAGTCTGGTTTTGAGACTTGTTTACGTGTCTTCTCATTTAGGCGGGAGTGGGGTGGGGGTGATGTTGGCACCTGCATAGCTCACCTCCTCTGGGCTGGGAGCAATGGAATGGCGACCCGGAAGCCCCTTCCTCTGGGCTGGGAGCAGTGGAATGGCAACCCAGAAGCCCCTTCCTCTGCACTGAGAGAAGTGGTCGCACTTCTTAAGAAGTAAAATTCACAAACATAAAAAGATGAAATAAAAACTGGAAGCCCAAAATGCTTGGTTTAAGGAATTAGCAGTAGAGTAGAGCCACCCCCAATGCTGAGGAGGTGAGCTGTGTGGGCACCAGCAGGAATTAGCAGTAGATTTTGAAAGGATTAGTGTGATCCAATGTTTCAAAATAATTTTCAATAAGGATTAGCAACTGAACCATTCAGGGAGGTCAGGGTTAACAGTGGTAAACTTGACTTTCAGGTTTAGTTCTATGCCTGCTTTTTAGCTTCTCTGAGTTGTAGTTTCTTTGTCTACTAATAAGATAATTGGTTGTCTAGGCCTAAAATCTTATAATGCGTCCACAAGAAATACTATTCATACCAAATAGAAAATCAGAGAAGTGAGAACTAAACAACTTGATTTTAGAAAAAATGCTGAACCATTTTTCTTTTAACTATCAGGCACTCGAGTGGTTCCCAGGCTCTGGAAAAAGCAAGGAGAGGCCCAGCATCCCACAGAGGACCAGGGGTCATTCAAAAATCTGCATTTGAAGATATTTTCTGCCCCATTGGTAAAACTCTAAACAGATACTGACTTCCATATTCTCCATTGTGTAAATTTCTAATATAAGTTAATGAATGATCAGCTGAATATATCTCCTTATTTACAGCTCCATTTAGGATAGTAATATTGTATCGTAGACCCATGAATGTACACATTCATGTCATGCCCTGTTTTAGAATAATATCTTTTGTGTCTGTCATTAGAAATAGTAAATAAAATATTCTATATTTCTATCATTGATCCCACAAAGGTGAGGTTTTGAATGGCTCAAGACAGTATTTTAAATGAACTGGCAAACATAGGCAGATGTTTTCTGCAACCATTGAGCCATTTGGTTTGGGGCTGACCCTAGGGACACACACCTAGACTACCACTGGCGTGTACACTGGGAGAAGGTGCACTGCGAAGTCCACACTCATGCATCACTAAGTGTGTACAGGGCAGGCAACCTCACACACTGTGTTTGACCTGGAACCCAACCTTGGCCTAAAACCCCAACACAACTTCAGAATGCACTACATACTCTGAACAAAAATAACCTATCCAAAGCCTCAAAACCAGTTGAAAGCCCAACAAATGAAACCTCCTCATAAGATCAGGAAAAGCACTACTTCACTCCTGCTCTTTAATTTCTCATGTCCAACCTGATGATAGTCCCCAGAACCATGAAGAAAAATTGATCTCGGAATCAGAGTTGGGCCCAAATCATTTCGCCACATGTTGGTTTTATGAACTTGGATGGTATCACCTCGCTCTTTCTACTTCAGTTGTCTCATCTGTAAATCTAATTTACCTCATTGAGAAAGAAACATAAACGTGTGTTGTGAAACTGCTTTAAAACTCAGAAGGGCTGTATCGTGTGCTTTTGTCCTTGGTGGGCTTGGTATTTGTGCTCGGGGTGATACCCTGATATCAGAGTCAAGACATTAGAAGAAAAAGGAAATGCTAGAACAATGGCAGGAATAGAGAAGGTAGGACAGCTTGCTCTCTTTCTATTCAATCAAGGACTCATAAGGCAACTACACTAGACATAATACTAGTATTGGGAAGGACTATCAAGTCTTCCCACCTTCGAGGCAGCCATCCTACTTACCTGGTGAACTAGCTCTTCTTCCTAAATTTTTAATTCATAAAATTGTCAATCCAATAAGAAAGTTAATGCCATTCTCATATATACCAAACAACAAAAAACATAAAATCATTAAATTTGTGTTCTCAAGATGTTTCTGATAATTATAGAAAAATACTAGGCACAAGTTCATGTCCTCTCTTCTTATTAATGATTCCAATCAAAGCCAGTAGTTAAAGGCATAATAGGCTTTGCGAATAAGGAAGAAAGAAGGGTGGCTAACTTGAAACACTGTACATGACACAAGGCTAGCTATCAGTAACCTCAATTCACATGCTAGGTCTTTTGTGAATGATTTCACTATGAATAAACCACTTTACCTGCTGAGACTTCTCCAAGTTACAAAAGCATTCATTATTCATTGGGTTTTTATTCAACAAATATTTCTTAATCATATACTAAATGCCAGGCATTGGGCTGGTAACTAGGGATTCAGTTATGAGCAAATATGGACACAGACCCTACTCTGAAGGAATTAACCCTAAACCTTGCTTCACTGGTTTATTGCCAGAATCCAATAAATTAATGTACTTAAAGTATTTTGTTATGATGGATTAAAGGTAGATTCCAAAGAGCCTCAGTGCCCACCACTCTTGTTCAATTGTTGAAGTATTCACAAAAGCATGGGGAGCTGCAAAACAAGCTTGCAGCCATCAGTCCTCAGCCCTAGTCAGTCTGACATTTTCCTGCATGTTTAAACTCATGTCTCTCTATGCCATTCCAATCTTATTTTCTTCTATCTGTCATCAAGGTTTTTTTGTACTGGAAAAACTTTCAGGCCCGGCCAGGCCAAAGGTAGCCTCCGTGACTGTCTGAAAACTGCTTTCTCTGCTTCTCCACAGCTTTCTCAGGGCCAAAGTCCTAAGGAGATTATGATTTGCACAAATGTCCATTTGAAGGAGTGTCTGACTGCAATAGGTGGTCACAGCACTGGATAGGGACCCAGAGTGACACTGGGCAGTTGCTCAACAGGGGGCAGCCACTGCCAACAGCTGTACAGAGGGCCATGTTGGCCAGGGAGAGGTGTGTGATGGGAAAGAATGCATCGTGTCCACAGCAACCTGGCTTGCAGACCAGTAGGCTGGCAGGCATCTGCTAAACTCCTGGTGATACACACAGCCCTCCTCCTGCCAGGTGACGGACTCAGGCAAGATATAAACCAGTGCGTGGAACATTCCCTGGGACACTCGGAGGTAGTGCCTGGGAGGCAGGACTTGGCAGGTGGACAGGACCCAGCCAAGCAAAAGAGACACTAACCACAAGGGTGGCACAAGTTCCTGAAAACCTCTGTGTGTGCCAAGTATTAACCTTTCAGTTGCTGGAATTTAAAGATGTGGGAAGGGAAGTCCTAAGGAAAGTCTAGAGTGATTATGAGACGAGAGAGAAGAGCTCAACGCTTCCCAAGAGGTATTTCTCCATAGCTGTCTGGAAACCTGCATCTAGCACGTCTGCATCAGGCACCCTGTAGCTGCTCTGTGGATCTTTGCTCTGGCAATGGCTTCCCTTGAAGACCTTCCCCAGATGATCCCAACCTGCAGCCTCTCATTTCCCCTTCTCCAGTCCTCCTCACTCGGGCCCATGAGGGTCCCCTCCTCTACCCATGACCAAACAGGATGTCTGACACTGTTTATACATGAGCCTGAATTTTTTCATTTATAAGCAACCTCCCATACCCCTAGCAGGTTCTGTCCATGCGCTGTTCTTCCTTATGCTACAGCACAATAAAGCCAGTTTCAGATAGCATATTCTTGCCAATTCATGATGTCTATCTCAAATAGAAGATGCTAAGCCTTACACTCAGAGCTGGTAATACCAAAGGTTGCTAGTGCCAAATGCCACCAGCAGCCAGGGCTGGTAACACTGAAGGTGGCTAGTGGAGAGCAATGAGGAATAACTGGGAGCTGCTGTCTCTGGGGGCCAAAGAGTTCCTGAAGGTATATGCAGCAAGAATGGCCACTAGCACTGAAAGAGCTGATACCCACTAGTACTCAAAGTTTAGGGCTGTTACCACTAGAAAGATCTAATAGCTGCTGTCACTCAAAGCTTAGGGCTCTTGACACTAAAAGAGCTGAGAGTACTTGTATTCAAAGGCCAGTGCATGAAAACTAGCAGAGCCAGGCTTTGTCAATTCATGATCTCTCTGCAAATTGACCAAGAACCCTCAGCTGACTGGTTACATCTTTGGACCCTGAGTGGAAACCTTCCCCTTGGAGGCCCAGAAGAAGAGTGTGGGCAATGGTCCCAGTTGTCAGAAGGCTCAAGAGCAAGCCCATGTCTGATTTCTATCCTACATGTGGCTATGAACTCATGCTGGCCAGTGACAGTTACATTACATGAGAAGGACACTCAGAGGACAAGGGGCCCCAGCTGTCCACCAACCTGCTTGAAAGTATTTCAATACCTTAAATACAGGAAATGTCACAGGTGTGCCGTTCCCTATGTAGAAGATGTAGGAGATGCCTTTACCTTTCTCTCACTGTTGAACAGTATTTTAGGTGTTGCTTTTTTTCAGCATCCTGAATGCATTGCTTCATGGTTGTCTGAGTTTTATTGTTGGTGCTGAGAAGTTTGTTCAGACGTGTTTCTTCCCTTGTATTCTTTTTAGACTCTTCTTTGTGACTTGCTCTTTAATTTTCATATAATGTATCTAGATGTGAATATCTTTTATTTCCATTAAAAATTATATTTTCTAGTTAAATTGTCATTATTTGCAGATGACATGATATTCTATGTAGAAGACCCCAAGAACTCCACCAAAAGACTTTTAGACTTAATAACCAAATTCAGTAGAGTAGCTCAATACAAGGTCCACACACAAAAATCAATAGCTTTCCTGTACCCAAACAACAGACTCACTGAAAGAGGAACTGGAGTAACAACTCCCTTCACAATAGCATCCAAAAAAATGAAATACTTAGGAATCGACCTAACAAAAGAAATTAAAGACCTCTACTCTGAAAGCTGTAGCACTCTGAAAAAAGTGATCGAAGAGGATATCAGAAAATGGAAAGATATCCATTGCTCCTGGATAGGAAGAACCAACATAGTGAAAACGGCCATACTTTCCAAACTGCTATACAGATTCAATGCAATCCTAATTGAAATCCCAGGGCCACAGGTTTAGCTGAGTGGTTCTGCCACCTGCCTCACAAGCACAAAGTACCCATTTCGATCCCAGGTACCAAAAAAAAATAAAATAAAATAGAAATTCCAACAGCATATTTCATAGACCTTGAGAAAACGATCCAAAAATTCATTTGGAATCAGAAGAGACCTAGAATAGCAAAAGCAATTCTAGG